CACTTTAAAGGCAAAATCCGCGATCATTCGCCATCGCAAATAGTGGATGAGGGGTTTGCATATACAGGGGGGGGGCCAAAAAAAGTCATTTCGGCCGAGCCACATATCAACGAAGTTTTCGCAGCCCAGACAGGGGAAGTGGATATGAGTACCAGAGTGGAAGATACCCAAGATCTTCCTCTATAAGCTGGAGCAGGCTGCCGCCAATCGCCTTCATGTACGCCAAAATATGAAGTCATCTCCAGTCGCGGCCTGACTGGAGAACACCTTTGGAATTCACGTCGCCTCCAAACAGCTGCGAAACTTCTTGAATGAAGTCATCCACAGATAGCTACCTGGAGGTCAGTACTCTTGATCTGCAAGACCTCCCACATCGAGCAGCTACGGCAACGTCGCTACGGTCTAGGACATCATCTTCACCGTATTCGCCGAGGCGCGAGTTGATGGTATGGACCGGGGTACCTGGAAAGGGGAAGACCGATATTTTCTTTGTAGACCCCGACTGAAGGTGAGCGCTGGCGGTTACATCAAGTAACTCGAGAAGAATATCCTCCCTACATGTGGTCGCCCGTACCTTCTTGGAGACCTTGTGCTGCTACAGGTTTGGGTGCCACCACATGGAATCGAAGGGTTTTGGAAAAACTCCCGCCTACTTCGAATGGAAGGGCGTTTCGTACCTGATGAAGATGTAATATTGAAATATGTCCCCTGACCTGAACCCACTCAATTACCTAGTTCGGGCGGAGCTCAACAGGGTGGTCTACAGTGGCGGAGAAATCAACGATCTCGCTCAACTCCGGTACCCACTCACTTTCGCGCGGCCGAATCTCTCGATGGCGCTCCTCCAGAAGGCTGTGGCGGAGTATCATTATAGTATTTAATGTGCTCTTTAATATGGTAGTAAAAATGTCCGATAAAAATTTAATAAAGTGTAACTTATAGCGCCTTGAAAGTCATGGAGGCAAAATGACTTTTTTTTTGGCCCCCCCTGTATATAGTAGGATAATTGTCCGTCCGCAAAATGCTTCACGGGATTCAACGTGTAACTGGGAAG